CAATCTGGAATCAATGCATAAATCCCACTGAAAACTAATGATCCCGTGACCATGTAATTCAGACCTAGAGGGCTGAAAATTAGCACCCGGGAGACAAAGTTGTGGTTTCTGAGCAAAGTAGTGAAAAAGCCTCAGTGGTCTAAAAAGAAAGACACTACTCCAGCTGGAGGGGAGGGGAGTTCTTCCTTGACTAATTTAATGCTTGCAGTGGTAATATTCATCACTGTAGCTATATGGACTTTAGAGAAGTAAAGAAAATCTGTCTTAAAAAGACAGCAAAATGAACAACTGTTCTAGGACACAGTGAAAAAAATACTATACAACTGAAAAGGGGAATGTTAATCAACAACTATTTTTATCAGGTTAGTAAATGCAACATTTTAGCTCTTCAAACAAAGAGATACTTAAATAACTGTAAAATCTATTTAATATCCCCATTTAGGAACACTGTCTCCAATAGTAGCGTTACCTTGCCAAGACATTGGTTTAAGTAGTGACAAACCAATACCAACCTCTTTGTTTACTTCGTCCCTTTGGGGATATATTGCCTACCTGGCACATACTACCTTTTTTCCCCCAATTCTGTACATGATACACAAGCTCAAAGAACAAATATCAATAAAAGCAGACTAAGTCAACTTCTTTGGTATACTTAAATAAATGAAAGATTAAGAGTGGTGGTTTCAAGCTTTTTTTAAAAGCCAAATCAATAATTTAAGAAAAAGTGACAGTACATCACTTGATTTTGACGAGGATTTCATTAGAAATTCAACTTCTAACCAAACTGTGTCATTTGATCTACTGACTTTCCAAAAATTAAGTGTCAATGTATTTTACCACAGAATCCGCTACATAGAAGCAGATTTCTGCCTTTACCGTAGCTTCTTGCATACAACATGCACTTTTTTTTTTTTTTTTTAACAAAAGTGGTACCTGGAAATTGGGGTGAACATTATAAGCAAGGAAATAGTAACAGCAGTAAGGAAGGGATGGCAGGTAGAAGTAAACTGCACCTGCTCCACAAGTGCACAATGAAGACACTAGGCTCCCTACCTGCTACTACTCAATAACTTACTGAATTTATCAGCATTTTCAAGGAAAGATTGTTTTTGAAGGATAAAATAAAGTAAAAAAAAAAAAGATATCGGTATTTTGCATTCTGGGGAGTTTTGCATGGGAGAAAATACAGCATGTTTGTGTTTAGAAAAGATTAATTCTAAAATGATAGCATCTGAATGTCACGTTTTTGCATCTGGCTTATGAAATCTAGCTTCTTTATTTGTCTACTTTTTAAAGACAATTTTACTAATGCTCTACTCCACCCCTACCACCACCACACGCACTAGGGCTAAAAGGCCCAATAGAGAACTGAAATCAGTGTATTTACTGCTATTCACAAACAGAATGTAGAAAATCCATAATGAAGCTGTTCTCCTTATTTTGAGGTACTGGCTTGTGGGATGAATCACTGAGCCAGGACTTCATAGCACCAAATGAAGTCCAAACCACCACCTTACATCTAGAAATAGCATATATATCCTGTGGAGGACAATCATTAAATCTGCAGCAGCAAACATGCAGGAGCTCTGTGGACTGAAGGAAAGATTGTCTTGCTACTGTTTTAGAATTTACTTGCTCTAGACATTTACAAAGCGCAAAACAGAGATCTGAGTCTCTATCAGTTCCTTTTTACTTTAAAAGGTTCATAAGAGATTAACAGAAGGGAAGTTATGTTAAAAGTTCATACTTATTTTTCATGCTTTAACTACCTGGAGGATGGTTGCAAAGAGCTAGACTATTTTCAGTGGTGACAGATGACAGAACAAGGAGTAATGGTCTAAAGTTGCAGCAAGGGAGGTTTAAATTGAATATTAGGAAAAATTCTCTCACTAGGCAGGTGATGAAGCACTGGAACAGGCTGCCTAGAGAGGTGGTGGTGGAATCTCCATCCCTGGAGATTTTTAAGGCCCAACTTGACAAAGCCCTGGCTGGAACTATCTGGTTGGGGATGGCCCTGCTTTGAGCAGAGGGTTACACTAGATGACCTCCTGAGGTCCCTTCCAACTCTAATTGTCTATGATTCTATGACTCTCTATGCTTGGTAAATGCTGTCTCTGGTTAATATAGTTTTTAGCACATATTTAATAACTTTCAAAATAAATGAATTCAAACACAAAATACTCAACGCTGTGAGAAAACTCAACTACTAAGGCAGGCAAGTCAAAAGAAGAAAAACTGAGTTTTTCAAAATACATGCAAATGCTAAATCCTTCCAATTGTTTTCTGCAATCAAGGCAAAAAATGAATTTTACTGCCATGCAAAGTGTAGAACTCTACCTGTAAAAAAGAGGGAAAACCCTGTTTTCCCCAAAAGCAGAAACAGAGAACCTAAATTTAGTTTTAGCATACTAGAAACTATCCAAGCCACTAACATAATTCACCCAGGCATCAATGCTTACATTATTATATTTTATTAAATCTGGCAACCAAAAATTCTAATAACTTTAAAATAAATACATTTATCAAGGCTGTTGATCCCAAAGAAAAACATCCAAAAATTTCTGATGGAATAAATTTAAGAAACATCTGCTCCTGAACCAATTTCACACCAGCTGCATGCCAGCAGCACTTTGCCTCTTTCCACAGAAACAAACACAAGATGACTGAGGTTACAAGAAAATTTTAAACTAACACCACCAAGTTGAACTGTTCTAAGCAATGTCACAAAGAAAACCAACAAACAGCTTCCGCTTGATTTATACAGTCAACAACTTTGAAAATACATGAACATGGAGTTAAATAGTAGTAAGGCACAAAAAGGAAAGCATTTAGCACATTTCATTAGGAAACCTTGTTTTGGGTGTTTACATGCTCAACAGCAAAAGGCTTATATCTAAACCTGCAGAATTCACTACGTTTAGAGCAGAACTTAAGGTAGCACTACTTATACAGGCATATAATATTAAAAAGTCTATATATCAGTCAATTTGGACATAAATTACCAAAAAATTCTCTACTGAAATACTTATATAAAATCTGTTTTCTCTTTGTCGGAAGAGAGTAAAATATGTTGCATACTGTTTATGGCACCAGCTCTAACTCCTCATGTCTAAATCAGGCACAACTCAGCAAGGGGTACACTGATAATTTTTTGGACTGATACTGATGGCTGATTATTGAGCAGCTATATTGGCTGATACCAATCCATTGCCAATATGCAGCCTGGCAGCATGGAGAGCACCACACAGCTGGTAAGTCTGTTGGGGGAAGGAGCACTGGGGAGGAAAGGGGCATGGTAGTACGGCAGATTGAGGCCCCCACAGTGAGGGAGAGAGTGGGGCTAGGGCTCCACAGCCAGGGCAAGACAGGGCATGGGGCGGAGCTAGCAGCTCACCCGGGGGGACATGACTCCCACAATTATGCGCACCTGGGGGGGATATGCCCCTCCCCCCCCACGCACAGATCTGGCTGCCCAATGCAGCTTGGGGCCTCCCACTCCTCCTGTGCTCCTGGGCCTGACAGGAGGGTCTGAAGAGGTGGTTACCAGAAAATGAAACCCCGTAGGAATAGCCTTAGCAGTGGGGTATCAAAAGTTTCAGAAACACTTGATTAGATTCAGGGAAAATGTTTCATGTGAAGAAAGGCAAAGAAAAGGGATGCATTTACCTTAATGTTGAGATTTATTAAAAAAACAAGGAAGTTATACAAGGAAATACAGGTATAGTGAAAGTGGATCAGAAACATTTCTTTGCAGCACTATAACATAAGAAATATAAACATGAGATGATTGGTGAAAAGGAAAGTGCCCGTCTGTTGTAAAGGTATCATTTTGCTTTTTCACACAACATATATTAGGTTTGTAAAATTAGAGCGAAAGGACATCATTGAAACAAAGTGCTGGCAAAATTCAAAAGATGACTAGTATTTATTTGGATAACATCCAAAACTATGACAGAACTGATCTGCAAAAACAACTGTTTTGGAAGAGACACAAACCCTCATCCTTCAGGACAGAAACCATCCTCTAATGGGAGGTTACACATCTTTGGTTAATCAGTTAAACTAGTGGATCTCACACTTTTTAAAAGCAAGGCACCCCTAGGAAAATGCCAGCTCTGAGTTTTCACTCATTTTGGACTATGAAAAAAGTAATAGAACAATTCTTCTGTTGCAAAGAATCCCAAAATACTACAACAGGTTGGAATGCTTTTATCACTATTTAATATGCCTGCGTGTATCTGGTAAATCATGTTTGCACAGGCATCCTGGGCACACTTGAGAATCTCATGGCACCCTGGTTGAGAATCAATGAGTTAGACCTTCCTTGTGAGCAGATGATTCCCTAAAGTGTCTTCTGGTAGGTCTCTTGCACCTCCTCTGAAATAACTGGCACCAGTCACTGGTAGAGACAGGATTCTGGTCTAGGCTTCCCACAATGGTCCCTAACTGAATATGGTAATTCCTATATTTCTTTGTACTAAAGGCTTCAAAATATTTTGAAGGATATCCACTAGCCTAATGTCTTTAGCTCCATCTCTTAGCAAGGTGAGGCCCAGGATTTAAGTCAGACCCCATGCTCAATATTTCATTTCCATTAATGCATCTCAATATACACCCTACTATCCTACTGTCATGGCTATGGCTTGTAATACAGTCAAGTCTTCAAGTGTGCCCAGGTTACATAATATGACCCTAAAACATAACACGGCCAACCTCTAGTACCGCAAAGGTCAGAGGTTTCAAGAGCAGCCGTCAACTTTCTTCTTCATAATGTGGGCTTCTGGTCAACAACAGACCCTTTATACAACTGATTGGTTTAACAATATAACATATTACCAGAAAAAACACCTACTTAAAATGGTAGATTTTTAGCTAAGGGAAAACACTTCTGCAATAAGGACTTCTAATTTATTAATGTCTTATGCACACAAAAAGTTAAGTAAAAACAAATAAGTCTTCATTTTTGAAAGGGAACTGCAATAACCTGAATGATTACTTACCTACTACTAGTCCACATTCTGAACATATCATGTCTCCAGCTCTATAATCCTCTACTAAAATCGAATCTGGATGGTTTGGGCAAGTCACTCTTGGAAGAACATCCAAACTAAAAAACAAAGAAAAATATTTAGATATTTTATCTGCTGAATCAAACAATGTCTGTGTTTCCAAAGATTATTCACATCTAACAGGGAACCTGTATTTCAGTGATAGTGCAAGAAAAAAAAAAAAAAAAAAAAAAAAAAAAAAAACACACACACATTCAAACCATACCCTGTTAATACCGTTTTTAATCTGCATCACAAATGAGCCGAGTAATAAATTAAAAAAAATGTAAAAATGATATGACTGGATGATATCCAGGGCTGTGGTTAATATATATAAGAAAAATGTGGTAGCCTAAGACCTCGAAGAAATTAGGGCCGAGACACATTTTGTGATCTAAAATCTAAGTGTCTTTCGAATAAAATGTTCACTGCCTGCAATGTTTTAGAAAACAAGAAAAATATTGCTGCTTACAGGACAATACCACTGCAACATCATTTGAAATATTTAAAGAAAAAACTACCTTTAAACAAATGAAAGCAATCTCAAAGCAGAAACAAATCACCAGTTTATAAAAAAGATTAGGAAATGGTTGACTAGGATAATGGAATGAACTCAAGTCCTGTTCCAGTTCTGTTTCTGCCTTCATACAAATATGTTAAAAACCAAAATAAATTTAACTGAATATATAATAGGAAAAATAATCCAGCTGCAACAAAATGTTAATACAAGGCAAAAACAACTACAAAGTATCAGTTTCAGACAATACACATAAGGCGCTAACTACAATGTAAGAAAGCATTTGGAGTGCCCCAAATTCACTTCCAATTTACATAGGATTTCAAAGCTATAATCTTGCTAACATGGATAAAACCACATATTGATATGAAGCACTGGCCAAATCCTATTATGGAAAAATATTTTCAGTAAACATTTCACAAGTAGATACCCTATAAAAAACACTGCTGACAGTATATGGACGCTAGAAAATGGGATCGTCTTAAAGCCTCACAACCTGACTAAATTTAATTGGTATAGTAACATTTTTTTTTACTTGGATTCTTCAATTCATTGAAGCCATAGGTGCTATCTACTAAAATGAAAGGCAGCAACTCATCAAAACAGATTTGGTCAGAAAAATAAGTGGCTTTCTTATCAGTACTAGACAAACTACTGCCATAATACTCCAATTAATTATTTCTTAAATGCAGAAAGCAAACATTTAAGCTACAAATATAGTCAACTACATATTAAAAAAAATACAAAGATTTCATTTTTAGCTGGTTCTTGAAAATCCTGTGTAAAGGCCTGGTAAAACAACTGCTTTCCCCACCATACTCCAGGCTGCTAATGTTTCATATGGCCAGACTAAATGACAAAGCATCACATGCAACCAGTTGATAATTTGTCATTACACAAGAGGCCGGTGGTATTGTAAATAAAGAGAAGTAAAGCCACAACTTTTACAGAAGTCAAGGGCATGCGCCATTTCATTTTGTGCAGTGGTGTCCAACAGCTTGGGGATGCCCGCTTTCCCAAACCTACGCCAGCACAGCTCCTAGACTACACATCTGCAGTCCTGTGTGTCCTCATACGCGGGCTGAAATACTTCAGCTAGCCGTGGCCGTGTCACTTAGTGCTGTGATAAAAACGCCGCAAAACTCTGCCTAAAGCAGACTCCTCCGGCAGCGCCCGAGAAGCCCGCCTTGACCCCCGAACTGAAGGAACGAGCCCCTTCCCGGCGCGGAAGGGACCGGGTCAAGCACTAGATCTGCTGGCCGCTTCGGAGCGGAACCGACACGGGCGCAGGCCGCGGCCTGTTCCAGCCGGGCCCAGGCAGGAGCGCCGGGCCCGCCCCAGCGAGCAGCGGTGGCAGGAAGGCGGCCCGACCACGTCCGGCCGGCCGGGGCCCAACCGCTCCCACCGCCACGGGGCTGCAGCGGGCGGCCAGGGAACAAAGGAGGCCACCACTAGCGCGCCCAGCTCCGGCCCCGGCCGTCTCCCCATGCGGCTCCCCACCCGGCCCCGGAGGACCCGCACGCCCGCAGCCCAGGGCGCTCGGCCTCCCCTACACTGCCAAGGGCAGCGGCGCAGCGCGGCCTCCCGCCCCCACCTCACCGGCTAGTGGATGCCATATTGCTTCCTCCTCCGCCACAACGTCTGCGCAGGAGCAAATAGAGCCGTTGCGCACCCTCTTATATACCCTCGGGCCTGGAGGCGGAGCCCTGCCGGGCTCGCTACGGGCTGTGCGCGGAGACAAAAAGCTTGTCTCGCTTGCTTTGCGCCTGCGTCCTAGTCCTCCCCAGGTGGGGTGGGGCTCAGCTCGGTTCGTCAGGGGCTGATACCCGGGTTTTGAGTCGCATCAAAGCAGGTGGTGGGATGGGAGTGACTTCGAATTAGCGCATTCGGATTTCTCAAGGTCCTTGAGGTGCACGTAGGACAACGAGGCTGAAAAGGGCTCCCCGAGTTTGCCCCGAGACAAGAACTTCCTTCCCCGGGGAGCCCGCAGCCGGCACCGCCGCGTTGTCCGCTCGGAAACACGCGGCCAGTTTCATCCAGGGCGGAGTGGGTCGGGATGTGAGCCCCATCTACACAGGTTTAAATGGCAATTCGCTTCAATTAGCCCTGATGGTTTTAAGGCAGAGTATTAACTCGGCTAACTGGTGGGTACTTAATGGCTTGCCCTGGAAGGTCTGGGGTTTGATGCAGTCTTGATTCCCAATCAAGTTGCTGTTTTTGCTTTCAGCCTTTGGTCCGGGGAGGCATACGCTTGCCCTATGCAACAGCCTTTCCTAGCATCGGACAAAGGCTGCCCCTTGCGAAACCAGCATCTAAACCAGGTGGTCTCTAACCTGCCACTCTGCCCTACTTATTACCCAGTGTCCAGACATGGAATAGTTCCACAAAGCTATTTGGCCCAAGTTTTTAAGGCCCTGGGGAAAAAAACAAACAAAAACTAGTGTTTTTTTTATGTAAGGCTGCCTGATTGATTAGGGGCAGTGGCACAGTCCTTTTCACCAACCATAAAAGGAAAGAATGAGGAGGGGGAAACGGGAAGGGAATAAATCTAAAAACCGGGTAAAGCACCTTGGGGTGTCAACAGAAGTGCAGGTCACTGCTGTAACTGAGAAGGCTTTGTAGGAAGCTTTCAAAACGATTAAGTGTAAAGTTCTTTACTTGTTAGGACTGGGCCTCACAACATGCAGACACTGTCTTGATTAGCAAAAAGGAGTATTTTCAATTGTATTACATCAAATTGAGGTAGTTTAGCAGGACTGAAAAACCTTAACACTTGTTAAAATGCAAGTTATTTCTCTGAACTAACACCAAATGGAGACACCTCCCACTTTGCTAGGCCTTTTATCCATTGCTTTTGTTGATTACTAAAACATTGCTACATTGATTCACAGATCTCTTCACTTGGCATAGAAAGGAACAGGGACTTGATTTTTATAAAATAAAGCAAAGCTTGCATTCCACAGAAAACAGTAAAATCTGCATTAAAGAACAGAATTTCACCAGTCCAGATTTTTTGAATGGGGGGTACAAATCTAATAAATAATTTTATTACTAGACTCTCTGAAGCCTCATTAATCTATTATTTCAACCTAGGTTTTGAAAAACAAATGTAAAGTGATTTGTCCTGATTAAAGATTCAATGTAACCAGCATTTAAATTTTTGAAAAATCATCCCTTTTTAAAGAAAAACCCAGTTGGATATTAAATTAATGCTGTATAAAAATCTTGACGTCCTACTTTAATAATCGTTTGCATTTATTTTCTTTAAAAAATAACACAGAAGTAGGTCTGGAACAGAGGTGGGCAGTTATTTCAGCTGGAGGGCCACTTAAGTTTTGGTGAGCTATCGAGGGCCACATGAGTAGTCCTGGCCCTTGACAGTTGCCCCATTCCCTCGTTGCCATCTTGGGACCAGAAATCCCAACCCTAACCCCTGACCTTTACCACCTGAAGTCCCTTCCCTTGCCCCCAGAAATACTCCTTTTGGGAGGGGAGGATTGCCATCTTAGAACCAAAAAAACCCAAATCATACATTTTTTAGAAGTCAAACACCTACTATAACTAATTTTATTACAAAAAATATTTTTGTTATGTTTTGTGTTTGTGTAGTGGTGACTGCATAATAACTCAAAACTAAATTCTTAGTCTTGTATATTGTGGGGGGGAGGTTGTATACTAGGGTGGGTATGTGTAGTGTGAGTGTTTATGGTGGGGTGTGGGTTTGTGGTAGGATGTGGGTGCATGTGTTGGGGGTTGTGTATATGTGGGGGTTGTGGGGGTAGGGTGTGGATGTGAGGGAAGTTGGGGGGTTGTGGGGACTCCCCATATGGTGCAGCAGCAGGCGGGGAAGCAGCTTTTCCTCCCCTGAAAAGCAGCCCCTGAAGGGAAGGCAACTGGCTCCAGCACTTGAGGCTTCCCTCTGGTGCTGCGCAGCCCCAGCAGGGAAGGCAGCTGGCTCCAGCACACCGGGCTTCCTTCACTGCTGTACATGTGGTGGGGAGCACTGGCGATACAGGTGGCCCAGCGGAGACTGCGCCCCTCGCTGCAATGTGCAGCGCTGGCTGCAGCTGCATCCCACCAGGTGCCTGCACCCTGAGCATGCCCCCCCCCCCCCCT